AAAGGGGATTGGGCACATTAATGGAAGATGTCTCTTAAATGAAGGCATCTGTTAATGGCTGCATGCCATAATAGCTTTATGGAAACTCTGTGGATAGAATGGGACTGATTACAAGCTGTGGGACAGCTGATGCAATAGACAGTTATGGCGCTCAGCATGTCCCCCTGGTGAGCTTTCTAAGTCATCCAGTTGACATCTAAAGGCATCTGTGTATGACGGAATGACCAGCTACAAACTCTTCGTCAGATTTAGCTCTCGGTCTACTTCGCAGAGCACACAGAACTTACATATGACTCTCCACAAATGGTGTGTAACCAATGTGAATGAGGCAAAATAGATAACATGGTTCTATTTGCTTGCTAATTTCTTACTTAGGGCTCAGAAATGCCATTGTTTGAGACGCTAAAGAACTGTTGCCAGCCAGTTTAATCAACCCTGAGCTGGATGGGCCATCTTGCTACTGCCCATGTGCTTCCAGAGGCATCTGGCTGACCACAGATGGAGAGAGTGCCTGCTGGACTGGAAGGGCCTTTTAAGTAACCCAGCACGATAATTCTGACATTCTCATGAAATTCACACTCTTGGTTTCCATTTAAAGGAGAGCAAATGGAAGGTCTTTATGCAGGTGCTTAAAACAAACAAACAAATTGCATGCACTATTAGTTTCATGCATGGGAACCCTCCCTCCAGGCAACAGACGAGGGTATGCCAGGTCATGTCTAAGCTTTTCAGAAGCTGGACTTGCAAACAGAAGTCTGTGTGCAAGCACATCCTAAATTAGGTGGTTCCGCTACATTCTTTGGCACCCATCAAAATAAGGCTAGATTTTTACCAGGGACCAATCCTCCATACCATCGTAAAAAGTTTCCTTGGCACCTTGCCTCAGAAAAGTTCTGTTTGGCCTCAAAAGGTAGGCCAAGCTGAGGCTGCTCTACAACAGGCCACATGGACATCTAGATTTCCCCCAAATCGGAGGTTTGAAACACAGAAATTCTTTACACTACTTGTGTTCATCCTGCCCCTAACAACTACTCTGCCTCTTCTTCCTTTGGCATTACATGCTCTCTTGGAGGGTTCAAGACGCACCCAACTTCAAAGGAACCTAAAATGGCTCAGCCTACCCTGAGTTCCCCAGCATTTTCTTTGGTTGTTTCTCCTACAGCTTGTTTTCGTGCTCAACTAATTTTGTAATGTCTATCCTGCCCATAATTGGTAAAAGGACAAGGAACAGAACCCTGGTGCTCTGGTCCAAAGATAATCATCCAGTTCACAGAAGGCCCTAGAGAAGGAAACCCCGCTTCTCCCATCCCTCTGCTTTGTGATAGGTAATACCTGCACTTCAAACCTGTATTTGTTTTCTAAGGGAATGATCCCCTGGCCCTGAAACGTTGCCTGAGGAGCCACAAGATAGTTTGGATTCCCAGTTCTGGGATTAAACAATGCACGCTCCAATCTTGGGACAGGGAAGTGGCACTCTCAAAGCCAGTGTAGAAAGAAACAGGCCGGCTGCTCTCCAAGGGTGGGAAAGAGAGCAGAGAGTAGATAAAGGGGTGGCTAGAGGGGCAGGTGAGACCTGAATTGCCAGCATAAAGTATTAAAAACTTCCCCAGCCTCCTTTCCTCCCCCTATGAGATGCTGAGTGTGAAGAAGTAGAGTGAGGAGGAAAGATCCCTTCTGGATGAGCCTGAGCTTCTGAGTTGGAAGGTTATAGGATTGCAAGATCCTAATCTTTTCCCTGTCTTGCTTTTCTACCTTTTGAATAGCTACATGTCCTACCTTAGACCAAAGTGCTACCTGGATTTTGTCTTCTATTTCCTCCCCATTCAGGCTATGTGCATTATCAGAGCTTTTCCCACAAGCCTCCATGTCCCCTGAAGAGAGTTATTGCTGGAAAAGACACCACACAGTCAAAGGTTTTATGCTCATGCTCAGTTCAGCCAAGGCTCATATCATAGACAACTCCTTTGAGATTACTCTGAAATAAAGATCCTTCCACTTCCTTACTTTCCATTTTCAACTGTTGACAGCAAGGAAGGTAAATGCTGTTTCTTCCCCATGTCAGCCTTTGTCCAAACTTCTCCCAACACCATTGTCTCATGCACACATCGAGTCTCCTCAGCTTCACCTGTCTTGCTGGTCCTATGCATGGACCAGACAATTGAAAGAAAGCAGACTTGGGCATCTTGGATCTTAATGACCTATCGAGCAACCTAAACATTGTTTCAAGGATTGCACCACTATTTCCCCATGCCACTGGTGCCGAAGTGCACCATGAATGTCGACTCCTTCCCAGCACTCTCTCTCACTCTCTATTTAGATCTGCTAACTTTGCACCAAGCAAGGTCATTGTCATCTTTCTTCCCTTAATCCTGACATCTAAAAATCCATTTCCCAGCATCCATGAGCAATAAGAATGTGTTATATCTTGTTTTGGGCACTATATCCTTAGAAGAAGAATGAAAAGAGCAACTCAGACCCATAGATGCACAGCAAAGATCCTTTCTGTACTTCACACTTTCTGCTCAGAAGAGCAATCCTCCTGCCTTTTCCCCCCCCCCCCCCCCGGTACCAGAAGCTCAATGGGCTTTATCTTCACTTCATAAATCAACAGATCAGGAAAGCTAAACATTTGCATTATTTTCTGTTTTCCTTCTGAGTGGTCCATACTCCCTGTATCCTTCCTCACTTTTTTCTAATATTCCACCCCATTCCAAAGTTCAAAATCACTTGGGATAGGATCTTTCTGTGGCTCTTTTATGCATTTTCTCTCCTCTTTCTTCCAGCAAGCCTACATTTACTCCTACTCCAAAACTCTCTCACAAGCCTGGAAAACAGCTTGCTTTCCCCACTCCATTCCAATTATCCCAAGCTGATGCTTCTCCCCACTGCCCGCTTCCGTACACACAATTTTCCATGCTTCCCAGTGTCCCTAGAGTCAACGTAGCCTTTAAATGTTTGTTATTCTTTTCTCTAAATCAACGTGGTGCAGTGATTAAAATATTGGACTGGAGATCTGAAAGGTCCTGTTCTACTCCCCACTCAGCCTGGAAGCCCCTGGGGAGACTTTGGTCAGTAACTTGCTCTCAGCTAAAAAATACTCCATAGGCTTGCTGTCGGGATAAAAATGGAGGAGACCTATGTAAGCCACCTTGGGTTCATCTCAAGATGGGAAAAAACAGGGAGATACAAATACAATGTAATGATGATAACGATGATGATGGTGGATGGTTCTAATTGTTCTGATGTATGATTTTTGTTCATTTAAAAATTTTCTTTAGCAAAACAAAATTGCATTCGAGGACCTTGTTGTCACATTCAAGGACCTTGTTGCTGTCTTTTACCTCCTTAGCCTTCGGGCTTATCAGGTTTTCCCTCTTGCCCAGAATTCAACATCAACAGATCTCTCGTATATGTGTTTGGTTTTACACACACACACACACGGACTGATGGACAGATGGAGTTCAGAACAGTCTTTTCTGGTCAGTCAGCAACTCTGTCACCAGGGTCTCCTTATATATTCCTTAAATTTTCCTTATGTGAGTGGAAAGGCAGGAGTACTGGTTGGGACTGCATACATGGAGACACACACTCAGATGCTTCTGAATCTTTCTTCAAAGCCTTTCTGGCAGAAGGAGGCTCCAGGGTTGGCACTGAGGAAAAGAGCACCTTCCCAAGAAGGCCGGAGTGTTGTGTATGGACTTGGTGAGCTATTTCTTTCCATCCGTTTATGAATTCACAGGCTTGTGCTTGCTTGATCAGAAGAGAATTATCCAATAGAGTATTGAGCAGTAATCAAAATGTAGATAGTAGAGTTTTGTTTTTGCTGCTGGGGAAGCTTATTCCAATCTATCTTTTCCCAGAACAAGAAGATAAGGCTGTATGAGAAGTGCTTTGCTTCAAAATGGTCCTGACTGGAAGGACATACAGAGCTATGGGGATTATACTCACTACTGGAATTACTCCTCCAAAAGGCTGGAAAAACCAAACAAAGACCACATATTTTTTTTTCCAGTCAAGGGAAAAGATAAGGAAGTGGAAGCAAAATCTTTACATATCCTGAATTCCATCTTAGACTTGTCTATAGGCCTTAAAAGCAGCATTCAGGGTCATAAAAATGATGCTGCTGCCATGAATCATGAAGATAGCATATGCCAAGAGCATGACATCCTCAGAGTTGGTTCAACCACCTGAGAGTGATAATTGGCTGGATAAATTGATGCTGAGACAAATCATGGAACTAGCTGGCAGTGAAGAAAATACAAATAGAGAACAGTCTCCTCTTCGAAATAAGATAAGAAAGGGAGAGGGCCTACCAATTGAAGGGTGGCTCTTTTTATTAACGAAAGCAGTTGAGCATGTTAAATGCTCCTTATCAGAATGTAAGGAGCTTTTAACCACTCTGGTAGACTTTTTTAAGGAATTGGATCCAGGCCCAGGGGAGGAGCCCAGCAAACACAGGTTTCAAACAAACAAGCCAATTGTGAAGAATGGTAAAAGATCTAAAAGAATGACAGTAAAGAAGGAGAGCAATAAATTAAAGAAGAAAAATATTGAAAAAGAAGAACACACATTTTTTAAAATGATGAATGTTAATAACCCCTTAAAGTTTTTAGATAACAGCCTTAAACAGAAATTAGAACAGATGTTGACAAAGGAATTTAAGAATAGGGAAAATGCTGATCTTCTAACTTTTCGCTTCACTCACCTATACTAGCTGAGGCTCATGATTCTGAGAAGCAGGAACCATGGTCACGTGTACTGTCAGGAATAGCAACGTGACAAAAGAAAGTTGCAAATAGTGCAAACTGGGATCTGGCATTGAACCCTCAAAAATTACTGCCATCCAACTACCCTGAACCAAAGGGTCTTCTAGCACAGAATGAACAGGCTTGCTCACTATTGCTGATGCAATTCATGTAGAATGTTCATCTTGCAATCATTTTAGTGTACATGCAGTGGTCACCTTCAGAGGAAACAGCACAGCTACAACTGTGTATAAAAATAGGGCTGCATTCAGTCAGTGGCAGAGTGGTTTCGGGATTTTTTGAGAATGTAGCACCTCCACTGGCTTTAGATGGCTGCATTACCACATGTAGAAAAAACAGCTTCTCTAGGAATGCCCACAGTTTTGGATATTTAATTGACCTGGGTGTGCCTGAAGGACTTTCTTTCATTCACAAAGAGCAAGAGAAGCAAGGGCTGAAGAGGGGTGAATACACCTGCATCCTTGGATAGCAACAAGTACAGGGTAAGTAGACTTCTCTCAGTGATGAGAAAACACATCTAAGCGCTTTCCGTGCTTTGTCCCTAGAAGCACAACCTAGCATGAAAGGAGGATGAGCCAAAGGAGGTCTGAGCATCTGGTCTGGTTTCTCTTAATAGTGAACCTTCTATCACCAAACCTGACCCCTTGACTCATCTTGCTACCACCTTAGTTATTAAGTTTAGAGCATTTTGTTTGCCATTGATAAATGTCAGTGTAGCCCGCAGCAACAAAAAACTTTGGTTCAGCACAGCTTCCAGTGAAGACAGGAAGAGCATATTAACCAAATGACAGTTTTGTATCTAGAGGCCTCTGTGTTGTGGCAAGGGAGTGGAAGGCCCAGATGATGATGCCCAGTGGGCATTTTTTCATAAAGTCCCTCCAGAAACAGAGGAAGCTCATTCACTGCCTCTTAGACTGTCTAAAGATAAGGAACATGATTGTGCTGACCTTTGTCTTTTACAAATGATAAATAAGCTGAACTTAGTTATTTTAAATAGGAGTCTAGAGGGGGATAGGTATGATGAATTTAAATTTTTATCTGGTCTTGGAGCATTCACAATTGACTATTTTATGGTGTCTTATGGTTTGTTAAATTTGGTGTCCAATTGTAAAGTGGGAAGGCAAATTGAGGGCAACTGTTTATCTCTGATCTTGTCTTTCAGTATTGGCAATCATATTGACCATTTGGCCCACAAACCAATGTCAAACATTTATTTATTCATTTGCAATATTTTTATCCCATCCTGCACAATCACATTGTCCCAGGACGGCTTACAGTAAAAATAAGCAATAAGTACACAAGCAATCAAAATACAATAACAAAATATGACTGAGAATACTGATAAAATTCTGGCACTGAAAAGAATATAAAGTCGGCGCCAGGCAAACCTCTCTGAGTAGCGCATTCCAGAGTCGGGGTGTCACCTCCGGGTGTTCACTCCTAACCACCTTCAAGGAGGGTTCCCGGAGCAGGGCCTCTGCTGCAGATCTTAGGGGGTGGGAGGACTCTTACTTAGAGAAAGAAGTAAGAGCTTCAAATGTTAGGTGGGCCAGTCAAGTTGGAGAATGTCTTAACAGAATTACTGTATTCAGAAAGCAGTCTTTGCAATCCCAATGTATTGTTGGCATCACATTCTTCTGAAACAACTCTGGGTCTGTTTCAAAGATTGATCAAAATTGTCTGAATTATAAAGCCCCTGTAAGACATACACCTTCCCCTCTAAGGCCAATGACTGGTTTGATCAAGAATGCATTGTCACGAAAAAGGCCTTAAATTAAAGATATAGGGTTGAATCTAACAACCCTTCCCTGCACAGTAGTTTAAGCTGAAGAGGAGATACAAAATCCTAATCAAAGAAGAAAGAAAGACAGAAAGACAGAGCAAGCACGCAGTCCAGTGGAAGACAATGACCATGCTTAATTGCATCCAGGGTAAATGACTCAGCTACCTTTTGAAAACTGGACTTAAGAGGTTGGCACAATACAACAGTTAATCTGCAGTACCATCTTCCTTTTGATTCTTGGGACTTGTACTGTGATCAGATATACTCAAGAGGGCAAAGTTGTCAACTGGTCACAGAAGCAGTCTTCCTGAGTTGCCCTGTCTCCACCCCCAAGATCACCTGAGCTTCCTAAGGCTAATGTGGAGTGGTGGGCTCCAGGCTTACCGGCCTTATTTGGTTTGATCATTCAGCATTGATCTTTCAATACATTCCAAGGGATTGAGGACTTGCCATTATTGTCCCAATTTTTAAGAAGGGGGAAAGATAAGTCCCCACTAATTATAGACCCATCACTCTGCTGAAAAGCATACCCCAACAGCTGGGGAGGGGGTGCAGCTTTTATTGATTTCAAGTCAGCCTCTCACTCAATTTCTAGACTGTGGAAAAAATTTGAGGCCGCAAATCCAGCAGGATTCCCATATCCACTGGTTCAATTACTGCATTCTCACTTAACTGTGGTTTGACCTCACTCCAAAAGAGAAGTTGTAAAGTGCTTCCTTTAAGTGAAAATTCTCAATTTAATAGAGAAAGAAAAAAATCATATGCTGAAGTTGCTAGCATGCATGCTAAGAATGAATCTTCTATCTGTGCAATTGTGAAAAAAGAAATGTATATGTACAGTATGTGGTGTTTGCTGTTATCCATTATTTCAGGCACCCACAGGGGAGCCTAGAACCTATCCCTGTGGATGTGGGGGCCCCTGCTGTATAGATAGGCACCTTTGAATACTTACCTGCAGCCTTTATGAAGGTACACGCCTGTGGGTAAGATACAGTAGTTTTGGTGACTTAACCAGATCTACAGCAACTTTTAATAGAGTAAAAAGGGGTACATTTTTGCTCCTACTCTGTTCAATTTTTATAGTAATTCTCTGGTCAAAGATTTAGCGGAGGTAAATCCACGTCCTTCCAGACTGGCAAATAGGTCTGTCAGTTCAGACGATGATGCAGTATTATTGTCATTGACAAGCACTGGCTGGAGACACCCAGGGGTCCTCAAGCACTTTGAATAGGGGACCAGTTGAAAGGCTGCGGTGACAGTCGCGGGCCGGTGAGGTGGGGGTGCCTGGGGGCGCGGGCCGGTGAGGTGCGAGGCGGCATCGGGCACGCGCGGCGGTGGCTCGCTCGCTCGGAGATCTCCCAGCGAGTCCAAAACCATCTCCGAGTGAATGAACCGCCACCTCCCCGCCTGCGCTGCGAGGCAGCGGTGAGCGTGCGCGCACGGGAGGCAGGTGGCGGCGGCGGCTTGCTCGCTCGGAGACCATCTCCAAGCGAGCAAGCCGCCGCCTCCCCGCCCGCGCAGCAAGCACGTGCGCGGGCGGCGGCGCGGGCTGGATGGGTGGCCATGGCGGGCCGGATGCGTCCCGCGGGCCCCAGTTTGAGGACCCATGGTCAAAGGGAACTGTTGGTAATTAACTATCCAAGTCCAAGCTCCTGGTTTTTACTAGGAGGAAGATTAAGCATAGATGGCTGATAAATGAGTCGTCCATTGAACAGGTGATAACATGCAGATATTTGGGTGTGAGTGGAGTCAGCTGGAGCTGTGGGTGGGGTGGTCAGACTAGATGGCCTGTGAGGTCCTTCTTGACTCGCTTTGTTTCTATGTTTCAGTCAATGGGCTCATGCAAAACAAACAATGTCATTGAAAATGCGTAGAAGAGTTTAAAGGCACTTCTTGGATTATTATTATTATTATTATTATTATTATTATTTGATTCCAAGGAGGACAGGATATCCCCTGGCTTTGCAAGTATTTACAGCTAAGGTCATAGCTCAGTTGCTATATGGATCACAGATTTTTTTTAATGACAACTACAGTCAAACCTTAAATTTGTGGATTTGATTATTCGTGAGTTTGCCATCAATAATTAAATGGGATGAATAAAAGATTTATTTATTTATTATATTTGTATGCTTCCCCATAGCCCAGGGCTCTCTGCAGAGAAGTGTCATCACCGTAGAGAGAGAGGAAGCAGAAGGGGCAAGGGGGAAGCCTCCAAAGCATGTCTTCTTGTCCCACCCATCTGGAGGGGGAAATTCCTCTGGGATTTCCTTGGTGCAAAGAGGAGGCACTGCTGAATGAAAGGGAGGGTGGGGAATAAGAGCATCAGAATGTAATAAATAAAGGAGGGGAGCCCTGCTGGATCTGCCCAAAGTCTGAGAGAGGGAAGAAGAAGCAATCCAGTGCACATACGGTCAACAGTATTAAGAGTTAAGGTCTGGGGGGTCGGGGCAGAGATATTTATGGTTTTTCCATTTTGGAGGGGGTCCTGCATCCCTAACACTTGTGAATGTGCAGGGCTGCTTGCATAGACAATTTGAAGTCATACAAACTAAATTTCTGAGAACCATATTTGGAACCCCAAGCTGCATGCCAAGTGCAATCCTATGTGTAGAAGGAGGACCAATTCCCATAGGGGCATGGGCATGTAAACTTGTTGATGTTTTACATATTGTGCTATTGTATTTTACATTGCTCTTCTTTGTGCTGGTCTATAGCTGAAACAAAACACGGATGCAATGGCAAGCTTTTGCACAGCTGCCCTAAACCCACATAAACTGAGATTAGCTGATGAGTAATAATTTAAAGTTCAGATTTCACTGTCTTTAGTGATTTTTCTGTACTTTATCGAGGTATTTTAATGACTTCTTTTTATTGTGTGATGTTTTAATGAATTTTTTTGGTGTGACCTGTTTCATTATTTTTGTGTTGCATTTTACTGGTCTATGACTGAAATAAAGTAATTCTCATATATGAGAATTACTTTATTTCCTATATATAAGATACACATCCCCATAAATTAAAGCATGCTTCATAACACATTCCTGTTACCCGGGACACTAGAAAGTGGAGTGTTTGAGCTTCCTCGCAGGGAAGCCAACTTTTTTCAGGTACATGCGCAGCACAGGGCTGCAGGCTTGCTGGACTCCTATATAGGTGGGAGCTGGGGACGGGCACAGCAGGCTGGAACCCCTCAGTTCTGCCTCCTACATGGCCTTCCAAGATAAACAGGCAAATGAGGCTGCCGCTCACAAGCAAGCCATGAACATGGGTAAACCCAACCAGAATGGCACAGAGCATAGAGGCTGGATTGGCAGGGAGTCCTTTAAATGGGGAATTGGGCAGCTGTACCTTCCCTATCTGTGGTGAGTTTCCTATGTCACATGTTGATGCTTTTTTTTTTCTAGAAAAATTTCCTAATGTTGTGGTCACTTAAGGAAAGAAGAAGTTTAGTCACAGAGAAGAATACAGACGAGGGTGAGCTGCAGCATCCATCTTTTCCCAGCTAAAGAAGACCCACCGGGCTCAGGCACTGGCGCTTTTCAGGCACTGCAGCACATTTGACCTGTGCTGAATGGAAATCTCCACGCCAGGGACAATGAGCCCAGCGGTCTTGGTACTCCTGGTGGCAGCTGATATCTGGCATGGTAGGTCTGCTTTTTGCCAATAGTAGAATGGGATATGCCAGCCCAATGCCTTGCAAATGTATTGTGGGAGTTGTAGTCCAACACATCTGGAAGGCACCTGGTGGCGAAGAGTGGGCTAGATAAAGCAACAATCCAAGCAGAAGGTAGCTCTTTAACTCAATTCACCAGAAACATTTCTGAATTGAGCGATTTCATTGCCTTTCTTTGTCCCAGTTAAATGGATTTTGGTGGCAGTTTCCACCCACCTCATCTTTCTCTAATGATTGCAACCCTGTTTTTGTTTTGGTTTGTTTTTGTGGTTTCAAAGTTTTTTATTGTTTTCTACTCACTAAACAAATAGTTATTCCTAAGACTTCAAACATACTGGGTCTTATTTCTCTCTGCAGTTGCTATGTATTTCAGCCCTAATTAAAATTCCAATTCTCTAGCCAATAATAGAAAAAGTCCCATGTTTGGTAGTAAGCTATATCTTCTTTTTCCTTAAGAGATAAAGTCAGTCTGTCCATTTCCGCACAGTCCAATATCTTGTCTAAGATCAAATCTTCAGTCGGTAACTCTTCATTCCTCCAACATTGTGCAAATACAATTCTCGCCGCCGTGATTACATGCAAAGTCAAATATATACTTTGTTTATCAAAATCGTCGGGGAGAATGCCTAGCAAAAATATTTCTGGTTTAAACATAACAGGTCTTTGCATTTCCCCAAGCCATCTATGTGTTTTAACCCAGTATTTTTTTGCTTTGTCACAAGTCCACCACATGTAGTAAAAAGTATCAGGTTTTTGTTTGCATTTCCAACATTTGTTTGACATTTTCGGAAACATTTTAGCTAATCTATTTGGTGACAAATACCATCTATAAAACATTTTATACAAATTTTCTTTATATGAAATTGCCAAAGTTATCTTAACATTTCTTTCCCACAACTTTTGCCACCTCTGCAATTCAATGTTATACCCGAAGTTTTGTGCCCATGATATCATAGTTTCTTTAACTTGTTCATCTTCCATTTTCATTTCTAAGAACAAGTTATACAATCTTTTAATCATTTTTGCATCTGATTTTAAAATTAATTGATCAAACATAGTTTGGTCCTTATAGAAACCATACATTTTAAAATCTTTGTCATGTCTTGATTGTATTTGCACTTGGATTGCAACTCTTGTTTTTTAAACTTGGCTTCACTCTTCCATAACTGAGCAGAATAATCAGTTGAAAGTTCATGTGTGAGGCTGGCTTTGTATATAATGGCCAATTTTGAGAGATGGGCTCTAGGAATGTCTGTATTTTTCACCTGTCCACCATATTGCATACTTAGGATGATGACTGACTCAACTTTGCTCCACGTGTAACATGGAGAGTCGGCCTTCCCATGAAACTGGACGAGGGGCCCACCTCAGGCGGTGTAGTGGGAGGAGTAGTGTGGGAGTGGTGGAGTGCTGCTCCCCACCCGGGAAGGCCAACCATAACTACTACTGCCTGTGCCCATCACCTCCGGCACGCCTTCTGGAGAGTCCCGTCAGCCGCTGTCCTGCCATGGCATTTGCTGTGGCAAGACTGCAGCGGACAGGGCACCTGGAGCAATGCCCAACCTCTTTGCCTTCATGTGGAGCAGGAAGAAGCAGCTGCTGAAGTCTAATGAGAGCCCATATCTGGGTCCTAAGACCTGGGCAAGGTTTCAGCCACACAGCTGCTTCTTCTGGCTGCATGAGAAGGCAACAGAGGGTTGGCAGCAGCGGCAAAGGCAAGTTGGGTTCTCTTTCACTTCTGGTAGGAAGAGAGCTTGCACCAGGGCAGGTAAGATAAAGGCCTTAGGTGTTGGATAAAAGACTATGTTTACATTTAGGGAAGAGAACTGATGTGATGCTATCTCTTCTGGAAGGGATTGGAATCTAGACACAGTTATTTCTTATTTTAGTTTGAAGCTTGTTAGAAAGGAAAACATTAGAGAAATCTTTGGTGCATTTCTGATCAATGGAATGTTTTCAGTCAGTCTCTAGTCATCTCCCCAACCAATCAACAGATTCCTTTTCCCTCTGAAGTATTCACTTTATTTTACCCATGAATGTCTCTTTTACTGTCCCCAAGCCAACACATAATCAAAAATGACCTCTAGTTGCAAATTTCCAACTTCTGTAAAGGCTTCTGAACACAGAATCTAGAGCATTAATTGATTATTCATCCTTTCATTGTACACAGCACTAGTAGGAAGCATCCAAGGTTTGCTAGAACATTGTTGTGGTGCTACAACATTTCAACCTGTGTAGCATTTGGGTGTGCTGGTTTTGCTTTCAAATGCGGCAGAGGCTAAGACTTCAGGACAAAGAAGCGACACACCTGGTTGTCACAGAAGGAGCCTTTCAATTCTAACTGGTGGTCACTGTTATGCAATGCAGCAATGTGGTAAAGTCAATAGCCAGCAGTTACTGGAAGTGCTAAGGAAGTGGGCAAGAAAGAGTATAGAACGTGCTGAAGCCTTGTGTAAAAATTCATTCTGGCCATTATAAGGAATGGGAGGAGAAATATTCCCCCTTATTTTGAAGAAATTGTGGAAGCTGGTTTACATTCCCCTTCATGCCTTATTGTGAAACACACCATTCTATGACCAAATCATGCCTATATAGCTGAACAGCATGACTGCTCTTAGGTTCTGTATTGGTACATTGATCACAAATTATCGAGATGAACTGTGGTGCTAAACATGGAAGATAGGTTAAGGACGTGACACCCCAGATGTCTTCTAAGAGTTCTCCTACATGTTTTGTGCACTTGTGATTCCTCACCCACAGTTGCTTACAGGCTCTTTAGACAATATCATGACCCTCCAGTTTCACTTCTGTTTTTTCAAAAGCACAATCCTGTACTTTTGTACAGCAAAAAAAAAAAAAAAAAGGAAAAATGGAGTCTTAATGGAGGTCATACAGAGTGGAAGAACTTAATAAGGTTTATTTCTGAACAAAGATATTTAGGAATGCCCCTCCTGGGGAGAAGAATGAGACATGTTCTAGGAGGGGCAGGGAAAAGTCAGATACCGTCTCCTCCCAGGAGTGTCCTGGCAGCCATACCAGCACAAAACTGGTCATTTTAATTGTTAATGTTATTTTTATTTTAAAGTTTTTTTTGGCGAGGGTGACTTATTTTATACAGTTACGTGTATTTTATATTGTTATTTATGTATTTTAATTTATTTATTTGTAAGCCGCCCCGAGGCTTCAGCAAATGGGGCGGCCTAGAAATTTTCTAAATAAACAAATAAATAAATAAAACTGAGCTCTGTATAGGAGGCAGCCAACATGGTTCAATATTGATTGAAAGAAGAACAAATGGATCTGCTGTACCTAGTAGTTAAAGAAAATTAAAACTAAGCTACTGGGAAAAGTCTGCTCCAGTTTCACTGCGTATGTACATGATGCATAGAATATGGTTGTGCAATTGTGCTTGTGAATGTTGCCATAGTTTTTACCAGCAATTTCCATGCAATTTTGTGTTCGTTTTAAGCAATTGTGCATTACTAGTAGTAGTTGTAATTTTGAGGATAAGCATTCCCTAGCTACCTCACTACTATCAGTAAGAAGTTAATAAGAAACCCTTCTCCAAGTGCAGCAGGAATTGTTTTCTCCTTCCTCACACACTCCATTTTAATGACTTTAACAAGGATTTCCAGTACTCCATCCAAGACATAGTCTAAATTTAATCTGTTCTAGATCAACAGTTTAAAATTGTGCTTTACAAAACTCCTTAGAAGATTAACAGGAGGTTTTTTTCCCAATGTGGTAATCACTAATGGCAGATAAACTTCCTTAAAAGATTGTTCATCTTTACTGTTGTTCCTCTGGTATGCATAGACATGGCGGCTGTTTGGTGTGTTCTAGGACTAAGGTGGACAGAAAACAGATTTCCAGATGTTCTAGAGTTCAACTTTAAGAATCCCTGACCATTGGCCTTGCTGGAAGGGGTTTCTAGGCATTGAAAAACAAAACATCTTGATATCTATGTTCCGTCCTCTCCTGCGCTAAGAAATTTTCATTTCTCATCAGACTAGAAAGAGGTCCAGGGATGCAGCGTTCCCCAGAAACCTCTGCAACTTGCATGGATCCTGTAGCAGGTGTGTTGGACTGCCTCAGCATAGGACACTGATCCCCTACAGGTAGAAAGGGCCCTATTGAAAATGCCTCTTTAATACTGAGGTGCCAGTTGCCTCAGTAAACCATGAAATACTTACTTTTTTCTATGATGTATGCAATTAATAGGCCAAGAAGGACTTTTTCAACTTGTACATTGTGATTTGCATATAAGGAAGCAACTGGGTTAGAACAATTAGTAATAGAAAAGAAGTTTGTCCTTCTCTCTTTTCTGAATTTTTCTAAGCAGTTTTGTTTCAGTTTCAATTATTATAATATTACTGGCACTTTGCTTTTTCTGACAGTTAACTGTAAAATAGGACAGTTATTTTTATTCCTGTGTTGTTATAAAATAGAGATTTGAGAATGGTACCAATTTGTAGATTATTTTGCTTTCTCCTTAAGGACTTAAAGTTTACTTTTGTGTCCTCCTTAGGGACATATTTTTAATCATGTATATATTTTGTCCCAGCACATGGATTATATTGAAAAGTGTACATACTTTAATTCATATTTGAACAAATATGTTAAGTTTTGACTATGGCTATACCAAATGTTTGCCCATTTCAATTTGGAGATTAAGTAGCTTTGGGGAGGCAAAATATTTCCCAGCATCCCTGCCCTGAATATGTGTCTGTTTACCACTATTTGTTTTGCCTTCCTTCTTCTATTTTGTCACCATTTGTTTTCATGCTGAGAATTCCTTTCTTCTTCCAAGAGTGATCCCAACCAATTAAGGAACACATAGCGAACATGGTGATGTCATAGACCAGGAGGAAACAAAGCTAATGGAAAGTGCAGGCAGCACATCCTGGATTGGTCATTTTATAATCATAGAATAGTAGAGTTGGGAGGGGCCAAAAAGACCATTGGGTCCAA